AACCCGAAACCCTAAACCCTAAGAGACCCTAAACCCTAAACCCTAAGAAACCCTAAACCCGAAACCCCAAACCCTAAGAAACCCTAAACCCGAAACCCTAAACCCTAAGAAACCCTAGACCATAAACCCTAAACCCTAAGAAACCCTAAGCCCTAAACCCTAAGAAACCCTAAACCCGAAACCCTAGAAAACCCCAAACCCGAAACCCTAAACCCTAAGAAACCTTAAACCAAAGAGCTTGTTGGGCTTTTGAAGACAAGAAGGTACGGAAGGGAATTCGACGAAAGGCTAGACCCCTCAGTATACTAATGGGTAGTTTTCTCAACTAGGGTCCCTTTTTAGGTCCCAATATACTACGGCACCCTAGTAAAAAGGACCCGAAAAGGGACCCTAGTTTAGAGAACTACCCTGAAGCAGAAGCTGCACATCATTACTTGTCCGTTGAAGCCTCGCAGATCTACTCTATCTATAGTCTCCATTGTAGTTCCTTTTTTTGGTTCAACCAATTCTATATTGAAGGTTCTATAAGGTAACCCCAAAAAGGAACTACAATGGATATTGCAGATTGCTCAATCCGCAGCGCTCCTGCCTCCTGAAACCGAAGCCCACACTCCCTAGTATAGGGGTTTCAGCACCGAAACATCGGCTCGGATGAAGGCAGCAGCCGCGAGAAGCATGTGCTTGGGCCTTACCCTACTGCGCGGCCTTGAGTCGCAGTTCGAGGTGTTCTGATCGGCTACTTCTCGGGTTGTTTCAGTTACAGACCGTTAGAGACGGTGGGCATTCACGGTCCAGCACTGCACGGACCGTTCGTCATCCTAAGTGATCCATAGCGGCTATCCAAAGTTAGCCCTCAACACCAGATTAATATTTTGCGCATCATGTACTGAGGGCTCGGCCAAGAACAGAAGCATGGCTTAGGTGGAAAGATCAGGCCCTCAACGCCTAAAGCCTAAACCTTAAGTCCCCAAAGGTCTATGCGGCGGGGCTGGTAATGTAGGGGTCGGGATAATTAGAACAGCATCCACTATATCACTATAAAGTCATGATGTCCATGAATATCCTCATATTCAAGACCCCACAAGATTTTTACAAACCTTGATGTACCCCCAAACCCCATTCCAGTTTTCATACGGCCCCATCTAAGAGAATATGCTGATATGCACAACATCCCCGAACTCTGCAGCCGGGCAAAGGCTAAGCCTAAACTATCCTGAAGCCTCATCTCGGCATCACTACACAATGAAAACCTGACTTACCCCAAACCTATTTGAAGTATGCTCCCGAAATCGTTAATACCTCAACCTAACAGCCACTGTATGAGCCCTTAAACCCTAAACGCTGAATTTACTCCCTACACACAACTCTAGACCCTGAATCCCTAAAACGAAAATTCAGGTTTGTCCGGTTGCTGCTTCTGGACACCCATCGGCGGTCCATGGCCGCCTTGCACTTTGTCGAGGCAGGTCGCCACAGAGAGAGCCTGACAGCTCGTGTGTAGTTGCAAGGAATAACTTTAGGGTTAAGGGTTTAGGGGTTTAGGGTTTAAGGGTTTAGGGTTCAAGGGTTTAGGGTTTAAGGGTTTAGGGTTTAAGGGTTTAGGGTTTAGGCTTTAAGGAATAGTTGGTAATGTTGCTCCCTCATTGTCCCTCCATAGTTATGGTAGAATGTACGCCCGAATCCTATTCTAAATTTCAAGGCCCCCACATCACGAACAACAAACACCGTATGTGGGTGTCAAGAACTAGATCGGATGGTAGTTGCCCCGTACCCAGGGGGCACCACCTCCTATTTGCTGTTCGTAGTCCTGCTTACCAAATACTGGCCCTAAACCCTAAACCCTAAACCCTGGTATGTTTAAAGTGCAGGGCTTGACGGGTTGCACAATAACAAGAACCTGTAAACCAGGGACTCAGCGCATTGTTAGGGTTTAGGGTTTAGGGTTTAGGGCATTGGATCGGGATATTTTGTACATCTTACTTGTACGATGAGCAAGGTCTAAATAGGTACTTTAAGGGCTAAGTATCTACTATATGGGCACATGGAGCCTTAGGGCTAAGCCTTAGGGACCGCCAAAATTGCTGGTGTTCCTTTCTTGCCAAACCCTAAACCCTAAACCCTAAACCCTAAACCCAAAACCCTACACCCTAAACCCTAAACCCTAAGTGAGGCTCCTAGTTGCCGCCAGACCCGCCTCCTGAACCCCGAACCCTCTTCCAATCTGCGCAGGGGAAGGGGCCATCAAACAACAAAAACAACTCTCGCAAAGACGGCCTCCATAAACCCTAAACCCTAAACCCCGAATTCCGAAAGCTCCAAAACACTGCGAGCACTCGCGCAGCGCTTAAGCGGCAACTCCCCTCCGAATTCACGCTGGGACACCCTAGAGCCCAGTAACGCCTCTAGGAAAAGCTCCGGTCCGAAATCCTTGAAAGCCTGAACCCAAAACCTTCAACTCCCAAACCTTGATTAAGACCTCACACCTAGCCCAAACCCCCAAATCCCAGAAACCCAGACCCTTCTAGAGCCCCTGAAGAAAACTAAAACGCTGTGAGCCCTAAAAGCAGCATTCTGCGCGAGATGGCCGAATGGGATGTGATGAATGGGGAGACGGAGATCGGTCATGAGGCTGCATCGTGAAGTTTGTTGTTGTTGAACATGACGATTAAGATGACGATGATGATGATGACGATGATGACGACGATGATGCTGATGATGGTTAGCATCATCATGATGACATTGCTGTTTCTGTTTCTGTTTCTGTCGCTGCTGCTGCTGCTGCTGCCGGTATGTATTATGATATGGTTCTTACTTTCCGACAATTGTTGAAACTATTTTGTTTGCCGTTGTTGCTGCTGGGGGTTTAGTTGTTTGGCTTTTAGTTTCTGTTCGGCGTTGGGCTTAGGGTTTGCGGCTCTGCTTGTTTTTTGCGGCATCCTAGGGAGCTTCAAAACGATTTGATGACTAGGTTTTACGTTTTGCTGGTGGTTTGTGCGGATTGGTGAATGGGCTTACGACGAGAGCTTCTAGGGTTGTCGAGGGGTTTGATAGGGGTTTCATAGTGATCTTAGGGCTCGAAGTTACAATGAAGATTTTTCAAGGCTGTCGACAGCATGGCATTGGGTTTGGGTAGATTGGTTTGGTGTACGACGGATTCAGTCAGGGCTTGGGGGGTNNCCCCCCAAGCCCTGACTGAATCCGTTGTACACCAAACCCTTCTTGAAGTCTGATATCGATCATGCTGCTTGTGGGTTGGGGTTTCGGGATTTGAGGCTTCGGACTTGTCACATGTCAAATCGCAGGCTTTGTAATTTCCGGCTTGATCCCTGAAGCCTAAGCCTAGTAGAATCTTCGAGCTTCATGGTGTTTTGTTGCTTCGGTTCAGTTTAGGCGAGTGCTTCGGGCTTGGCATTCCGAGTTAGGGTTTCTGCAGGTGTTTTTGAAGTCCTTGCTTGGTACTTTACAGAGGTGTTCCTCCAGGAAAGCATTGAACAAGATTGAGGAAGCTTTGGTTTATTTTTTAGCTCGTCATACTGCTGACATGAATACTGTAGTACTTGAGGATGGAAAGAGCTATTGAGTTTAAGAGCCCTCATGTTACCAAGTGTTTGGTCTTGTAACGTGATGCTATAGAGAGGACGAAGCCGTTGACTTTCCCACAAGCAGGAAGAATAGGCAACAACATGATCACCAAAAATAACGCAAATGAGTGCGTCGTTTCCCTAAACCCTAAACCCAAAACCCTTCCTCACTTTCTTAGCAATACTGCATCGTGCAGTCTAGACAGGGTGGCCAGGCAGCGATGAGAGAATACAGGTGTGGTCGGTGTGGGAGCTGGTTTAGGGTTTAGGGTTTAGGGTTTAGGGTTTTAGGGTTTAGGGTTTAGGGTTTAGGGTAGGCCCACTTGTATCGGTTTCGGGCTTAGGGTTACTATTTCGCTGACTCGCTGACCTTTTAAGCACCATCATTCACATGTTGCGCCGATAGCCGGAGGCCGTCCCTGGCGACCGGCTTGCGACGAAGTCCAAGGCACGCTGTACAAGGGTAAGGTGCAGCATGAGGTAGGGTGAATATTTGATTGTCGGGTTGTGGTGAGTGCATTATCATTCTTACTGTCATCAGAACAGCTATTATTATTGTGACTATGATTAATGCTGTTCTTGTTTCATTTTTCTTACATCCTTAACTAATACTATTCCTGTCATCATCACTGTTGCTATTATCACTAGCTTTTGTTGTTGTTAAAACTCTTGTTATTGTCATATGTTCATAATAATGGTACTAATATTGCTGATAATGTTGATATTCATATTCAGATTGATATATGTGAAATTTGTGAACACTATGGCCAATCGTATCGCATGCTTTAGCTGAAACGAGCATTTGCATTCAAACCCCCAGTACAAACCTTTTGAATAGTATCCACTAATATCAATATGAAAACTGAGCTGGGGTATTAGTTGTAAAAGCTCACGCTGTGCGCAGTCGTCTCGGGAACACGTAGCACTTGATGCAAAGGCCCCTTTCGGCTGTTGAGGTGCGGGTCATAAGGGACTCGTTCATGTTTTTGACATCAGTGCTCAGTCTTGTAGGGGTTGCGACTTGACATGGGCATCCAGCAGGCAGAAAGAGAATCGAAACGGGCTTGGCCGGTGCGATTTCTTGCAGGAAATCCGGCGAACGTGCAAGTGGTACCGCCCAGGTCTAGCGAAGCGGATTGGCGTCCGAGGATGCCGGGATGATGGCATCTTCTCCCGAGCCCAAGGGCGCGACGACCTCCGCTTAGACTCCCCGGTTCCCACTGGCTGCACGTCACTGGTTCTGCTACATGGTCTCAGCTTCACGGGCCTTGAGGCGCAAAGGCAGTACGCCGGCGCCTAGGAGGCGAACTCCGTGTCCGTTCGGCCGCGAGCAACTTGGTTCGAGGGCTCCACTCATGTGGACATGCAGATTGGAGAAGCACTTCGAGGCTCTGTCGCGCCAGCACAAACTGGAGGGCTTCATGAAGGCGTAGCTCTGGCCTTCCACGTTGGTAAGCTGCCGATGCAGTCAGGAACCCTGCCATGTGAGAGGCCTTCGGCATGGTACATGAGCCTGTTCCCCAAAGCCCAGCACTCCATGTCCACAGAAACCTTTGAAATTTCTTCACCTCGATCGTTTTTTGAGACATGTGGAACAGGCAACACAAAGCGGCCAGGCATACATTGGTAGTTTTTCTAATTAGGGTCTTTTTGGTGTGTTTTTTAAAAGGGTGCCGTACTATATTGGAGGCCTAATTTAGAGAACTACCCACATGGTGCAGCACCCCCTCCCCCCGACACGTCGCCCTCTGCCGTCCATATGCCGTAGAACCCCAGGCTCGAAGCTATGGAACTTACGCCGAAGCATGTTGAGGAAAGATCGTAGTGGATTGATTATAAGAAGATGCATCGACGTATATAACCCATATGCAGAAACACTACGTAAGCCCTAAACTAGGCGGCTCAGTATAGGCTCTTGGAAAACATTTTTTTCGGCAAGTGGCTTCATGGTCAGATTGGGGTTACTCTAAGGAGGGGTCAGGTCACATTGCAGATACTAGATCTTTGCCTGACATTGCATGTGGAAGGAGGCAAACACGCTAGCGAGACTCAAAAAGAGCAGCTGCAAAAGACCTCCTGGCATGCAGTAGCAATGGGGAGCATGTCTGCACCTGTTGATTGCAGCCACCATGTGATGGCCTCTCACGTGGCGCTGCCGCCGAGACCGTGCTTCTCGATTTCATTCTATTGTTTGATTGGCTTCATTTTAAGGTGTGGCCTAGTTTTTTCAGATGTTTTACAGATGGAGACATTTCGAGACCGACAGTTATAAGTAGCCATTCGTTATACTGTTGTGCACGTGGTTGTCGGTGCTAGCACAGAGTCAAAGTCGGTGAAGACGCACGAAGCATATCACTATTTCTTGTCCGGCGACAAGTTTCCACTTACTGCGCTGCTGGATCCTAGAGCAGCTCTGTCCAGCGGTGGTTGGCTGAGCGCAAGTCTCGAGCTGCTTAGTTTGCTTGCCTGACGAGTGCGACAGAATCGCAAATCCGTCGTTACCCCAACACAAACTGTGATCTCCTGTCCGAGCGCTTTTGGGAATAATGGCAACCTGAACATACCCATAAAAGCAAATCAACAAACGCACATTCTTCAGGTATCGACTTACGGTACTTGCGTTGTTTTCCCTTGTGTGATATATGGAAAAAGAAGCCATCAAGTTCAACGGAAATTTTCGCAGACACACATCGTACACACACAGACACATATGTTTGCAACATTACGCGCATATACCTGCAAACGGTTTTGTAGTGCAGCCCGACATACGGCAATAAGTATGCCAGGCAAACGCAACAGTCATGTGCTGTTGGGCACTGTTGCTACCGGCTTGTAGCTGCTTTTCTCCGCCGAACGACACCGTCGCCTTGCAGTAGCCTTCCGCAGCTCGCTTGTGGCTAAGTGCGCAGGGCATTCTTGGCGTTGCCCGCGGACTTGCCTGCTGCTGCGCGCCGTTTTCGAAGGAAGCATGCCTTCCCACGTGAGCGTTTACGTGCATGAAGACCCGACCATGTACGACGCATCCGCTCCTTGGCACGTGGTACTTGAGCGGAACGTGCAAGTCGCGCGAGTCGACAGCGTGATTCTCGCGGAGCCTGTGTGGATGCACATGAAAATGCGCCATTGTTGTCGAAGCACGCTTTCCCACGTGAGCGTAGATGTGCAGAAAACTCGAACCCCTAAACCTCACCAAGAAACACAAAACCCTAAACCCTTAAGCCCTAAACCCTAAACCTATACAGATGCAACCAGGAACCCTAAAGATTCAACAACTTGTAATCAGGAGTCAGGAGCTTCAGAGATGCAGCAAGGAGCCCTAAAAGTGTAGGATCTTCGTTTCGTTTCTGTGTTACAGGTATACTATAATTTAAACACCCCAAACCCTACTCTAATGACAAGCCCCCGATATTGGGATCTTACGGGATCAGGTTTGGATTTCCTCATTCCACCTAAACCCTATAAACCCTAGCTCCTTATCATTTTTTCCTCACCCCAAACCCTAAACCCTAAATCATTAACAGAGGTGGGTTATTGGGGTGAAGGCCAGCCCTGAAACATGTGTTGATTCCAGTTTAGGGTTGAGGGTTTAGGGCCGACGGGTTTGGGAATTTTGGGGTTAAAGGGTTTACCTTAACCTACCAAAACCCACTTTTTGTAGGTTATTGTTATAAACCCTAATATGGGATTTATAGGGACCCTACAAAAAAGTAGGTTCTGGTTGGTTAAGGTAGGGTTGAGGATCATTCCAGGCACTTCAAGCCCTTCTGCGCAACCTTTCATCGAGCTCACAGCCAAAAGTGACCTCTGCAGCGCTACCGAAGGCCGGGTCTCTAGATCTAGGACATGTTCAAGTGGTTAGTTACCGTTATAGGAACCTTATAGAAGGTCTATATATAGAAGCTTTATAGAAGCCCTATATACCCTAAACTCCCCACCTGTAGTTTCCTTTAATCTAGAGCTTCAAGGCTTATGGGTGTAAGGGCTTCAGGGCTCTAGGGCTTCAGGGTTCGAGGGCTTCAGGGCTTAAGCTTAGGGGTTTAAGGTTTCGGGTGGTTTCGGGTTCGGGGCATGGGTTTAGGGTTTAGGGTTCGAGGTTGCCGGGCTTTGGGCCTAAGTGGCTTAAGGATTTAAGGGTGTAGGGTTAGCGGCTGGGATTCGTGTTGTTTGAAAGATGTTCAAGCGTTGTATACTTTGTTTTGCGTAGTATAGGGGCCTTAGAAATCCGAATGGGGTTTGGGGTATATCAATCAGACTATCATTATAATCAGGAGCCCCCAAAACCCGCTAAACCCTAAACCCTAAACCCTAAACCCCTAAACCCCAAAACCCTATTCTAATCATTAAGGCCCTTACACTAGGTGCTCAACCGGCATTTTGGGCCGGATTGTGCGGGATGCTTGGCATAGTCTCCATTGTAGTTCCTTTTTTGAGGTTACAGGGTAGGATCCTAAATGCATAGTTGGATGAACCCCAAAGAAAGGAACTACAATGGAGACTAAGAAACCCCAAATTCTAAGGCAGATGAAACCCCAGAACCGAAGGCAGATGAAACCCTAACATGTCGAAGGCGGATGAAACCCTGAAGTGTCCAAGGCAGATGAAACCGTCGAAGGCAGATGAAACCCTAAAACCTAAGGCCGATGAAACCCTAAAGTGTCGAAGGCAGATGAAACCCTAAAGGCGGATGAAATCATAAAAAGTCGAAGGCAAATGAAACCCTGAAGTGTCGAAGGAGTGTCGAAGGCAGATGAAACCCTAAAGTGTCCAAAACAGATGTGTCGAAGGCAGATGAAACCCTGAAGTGTCCAAGGGCAGCTGAAACCCTAAAGGCAGATGAAGCCCTAAAGTGTCTCGAAGGGTTTCGGGTCAGAAGTGCGGGGTTTTTGGGTCACCAGTGACGGGCAACCTTCGGGTCACAGGTGAGGGGCAATAGGGGGTCACAAGTGAGGGAGGTGCCCTAAACACCAAACCGAGCTTTTGGAGACCATCGTCCTTTAGAGACTATATGGAGTCCATGCTAGCTTCATGGAAGGTGGACCCTTTACCGTCAAGGGGTTAGGAACCCGCCAGGAAAGTGGTTGCTGCAAGTCTCGTGGACGGGAAACCCCTTTAGAGCTAAGCCCTAGACTCTCAGCCCTATGCCCACTTAGCAGAAGATCCCAAGCCCGAAACCCGAAAAACCCACGACCTGAACCCAAAACCCTAAACCCCAAGCCCTAAACCCTAAACCCCAAGCCCTGAAACCCTAAACCCTACTCTACGCCGTCTGGGCCCAGAGGGAGTCTCTTGGAGCTTCCCTGGCCAGGCTCTGGCGCCGCTCATCGGAGGAAACTGCAAGCCATTCCTTCTCTGCACCGCCCGGCTCTTGGGGATGTCAGGTGCGGTTTAGGGTTGAGGGTTTACCCATAGGCCCCATAATAGTTCCTTTTTGGGGGTTCATAACTAGGAATCCTATAAGGTAATCCCAAAAAGGAGCTGCTATGGGGCCTATGGGTAGAGTTGAGTTGCTTTAGGGTTGGGGTTTAGGGTTCTGGGTTTATAGGGTTGAGGATTAAGGTGGACTGCAGGGTTGCGAAAACCCCATACGCCCGGATTTCTTCGAAGATTAAGGGTCCAGGCGGGTTAGGGTTTACAGGTTTGTGTAGAGTGACGTGGGTTACGATTTTTCGTTGGAGGGCCTGCCACTCCGTGTAGGTGGCGATAGGGCTTCATGGGAGGCCTGCCGCTTCTGTAATGTTGGGAGGATGAAACGCTATGGCATCTTGTCGCACCCTCATGAAGGCACAGAAAACTGGCGTTTACAGAGTAACCCCCCAAAAAAGCACCTATAAAGCCCTAAACCCAAAACCTTAAACCCTACCCCACCCCCAAAAAAATCCACTAAAAACCCTAAACCCCAAACCTTAAATCCTAAGCCCTAAAGCCCTAAACCCCAAACCCTAAACCCCTAACCCCCACCTCCACCCCAAAAAAAACACCTAAAACCCCAAACCCCAAACCCCAAACCCTAAATCCTAAACCCTAAAGCCCTAAACCCCAAACCCTAAACCCTAAATCCCTAAATCCCTAAATCCTATAAGCCCTAAAGCCCTAAACCCCAAACCCTAAACCCCTAAATCCTAAGCCCTAAAGCCCTAAAGCCCTAAACCACAAACCCTAAACCCCTAAATCCCAGTTAGCCCTAAACCCCAAACCCTAAACCCTAAACCCCTAAATCCCAGTTAGCCCTAAACCCCAAACCCTAAACCCTAAACCCCTAAATCCCAGTTTAGGTGCCGGAGCAGCCTGGCAGAGTCTTTCCTGAGGCCTCGTGGCAGGGTACTTGCAGTGAAGTCGGGTTTAGGGCCTTTAGGGGTTTAGGGTTTAGGGTTTTTGAGTTTAGGGTTTAGGGTTTAGAGTTTAGGGTTTCGTTTAGGGTTAAGAGTTTATAGGGTTTAGGGTTTAGGGTTTAGGGTTTAGAGGCCGCGCAGGGTACTTGCAGTGAAATCGG